CGTATAAATAAGGGCCACATGGTAGTTTCTGGATTAGTTTTATCTGTGTTTATCATCACAGTGTGCAAGTCTGATGGATTTAAATGGTTAATCACACTTACACATGTACAGTCAAACCAAAAATTATTCAGACACCAGATATAATTATTTGATATTTTTTACTAGTTGGTGCAGGACACTATAGTTAATTTATGTAAGTGAGGATAGCAAGATAAAGTAAACTGTGACATATTATACCCAAAAATTCTTCATACAGTGGACTACCAGTAAAACTGATTAAACAATTGCGACCAAAAATTATTAAAATACTTTGACCTGACCATGATTTGTCTACTTGTACTTGTCTATTTGAATATGAAAAATAAATCTATAACATAACATAACCTAATATAGTGACTAGTTAAAATTACAAGTATAAAAGTATAATGAAAATAATAATAATGTGACTAGTTTCCTAATGGTAATAATGCGAAACTAGTGGTAATATAGAAAAATAAATACATTTTAATACAATATAAAAATTGCATATAGGTGTAGATTTATTAAGGTGCATGCAAACTAATTATGAAAGATTTATCAACATGCTTTTGTTCCTTTTTTTTGCATTTTGTTTATTTTAATATATAACCTAATTTATATATTAATTTATTTGCTCAAAAATGCAGTACAACAGTAATATTGTGCAATGTTATTACATTTTTAAATAATTGTAATATACTTTGAAATGTAATTTATTGCTATGATGGCTAAGATGAAGTTTCAGTAGCAGTCTTCAGTGTAACATGATCCTTCAAAAATCATTCATTCTAATATTCATATTTATTGTATGTATTATAAGTCATTTGTATTTTTATTTAGATGAATATAAATTATATTAATAACCTACCTTTTATGTTATTTTCACCATTTTAAACGCCTTTTTTACTTGGAGCTCACAAAAACGGCATAATTATAAAAGAATTAGCAGCATGCTTTTTTTTGGGTGGATTACAGCAGCATATCACGTCACATAACATCTCAAAACTTCTTAAACTTATGTACATTTCAGAAAATAGCAGCCTCTCACCAAGCCGTTTTTTTCCGTTAAGTTCCTGTGTAGATTAATGTGGGTGTATTTTCGGCAAATGCTCCCTACTTACCATGATTCTCATGAACAGGAATGGGCCCTGACTAAAGACAAATCAGTCAAACACATGGACCTTTGCCTGACGGTGGTGGATCGCACCGCTGGCTCACAGATCAAACTGCAGGGCTGCAGGGAGAACGACAGCAGACAGGTGAGCATGCTGTGCTCAAAGCAGGGGTTTGGAGGAGGATTTTCAACATCATCATCATCATTGTGTTTCTATTGCAGAAATGGGAGCAGATCGACAACAACTCCAAACTGCGGCATGTGAGCAGCAATCTGTGCCTGGACAGCCGGAGCGCGCGGAACGGAGGCCTGACGGTGGAAGTGTGCAGCCCGTCGCTCACCCAGCAGTGGAAGTTCACTCTCAATCTGCAGCCGTAGCTTGACACGCCGATCCCAGCCCTCCCCTTCTCGCCCTCGGACAGCCCGTGCTGGGCACGCACTCGCCCCTCAGAGATAATCGCTGCCCAGATACAGACTCAGGGCCGCCTCGGTGCGGTCTGGTGGTCCTCGAGGGCCACGGGGCAATGAAAACACAAACAAGATGATGACTATTTCCATCTAACTATATACCTCACTGTTTCATCTGTTGTCCAGCTTTTGGAAAGTGAATCTTAAGCGTCTAAACTGTATCGAAACCATGTTTGGGATTTTATTTTCTTCTTGTTTTCCAATCTAAAGGATCCATTTTTGGTCTTCCTTAATTTTTGCCTTTTTGTGTCTCGTTTTCTTGAATTCCAGCTCCTTTTTTTTTTTTTTTACAATGGACATCCATTGTTCTTTTATTTTTCTAGTCACGTTACCAATATTGTTGAATGTAAATGACGTTTCATGGAGGCTCCCTTCCTGCGCTGTGATTGGACTGGATTTTAGTTTGGGTTGGTTTAATTTGTGGGATCGAGGGGAGGACTCATTTGTTGTGCGCACCGTCACAGACACACTTTGTGGAGGACAACGGCAGCCTTGTGTTTTTCGGCTCGCGGTGCTCACTCAAAAAGAGCGGGGAAAAAATCAAGATACCTTTTTTTTGTTGTTGTTTCCTAGTTTCTATTAAATTGTCAATTTGTCGTTTTCTGTTAAAGGTGCAATGTGTAAAGATTCAACCTGTTTCCCGTAAGGGCCCCTGGTGTGTTCTGAAGGAGAACCGAGACATTGTACAGAACGTGACTGCTGGAATCACATACTGTAGCACTGGCTGCTAACAAATCAGTATCTAAAACATGTCTTCAAACACAAACAATTGTTTCTCAGCCACACTAATCATTTATTTCTTAATTCTATGTAGCCTTTTTTTCTTCGCCAAGTGTATTACGTCAGATAATCATGTTAATAACCTGGTAACTCCAAGCAGAGGCTGATCTGAATCTTTGATCCTGTCTTCTTGGGTTTCGAGCAAAGATGGATGTGTATTACTCCTCATCTTCTGTGATTTCTTTCTTCTGACTTTGTGCAGTACATGATCTGGATCATAATATGGGCATTGGAAAAGCTTCTTTCCTGCCTCCTTAAAATCCTGGATCTTTTATTCGCAAGATCGATCTTGATCCTCAGCAGCCGTGGCCAAACATGACACATTATATCACTACTTGAGCATCCTTCTTTTCATGGTTAAAAGTTACTGCCTTTGTTATCCATGATACTGTAAGGAAAATGTGAGTTGTTTTTGTGTGTGTGTGTGTGTGACTGTGTTTCTAAGCAGCTTTCAAAGAAGTATGCATTTGAGAAGCATCTGAAGTCACAATAGAGAAACGCAACACGGTTTTGTGTTTGTCCTTTTAATTAGCAGTTTATTCATGCCCCTGAAATACTTTTTCACATCCAAACCTTGTAAATTATTGTGGTACTTCGGTTGATTTTAACAAAACTAGTGTTGCTGTAAATCCAACAGACAAAGAAGCCTGTGATATGTGAAACAATCATTTAACCCACCTGCATTTCATGTATAACGCCGTAGCAATTCTGACTAACTTATTGTAGGCTAGGGAATCCAGACTAAATGAGTCCCTGACTGGCTTTCAGTCAGCTTAGTCAGCAGACAAGAGGATTTACCATCTGACAGTAAGGAAGGATTGTTCAGTTTTCTGCTGTACCTTAGCAACGAGATCTTCTGGTTTGTTAGTAGCATGAATCATGCTTTTACTGATCACAAGCATAAATGTAGATTTTTAAGGTTCTTAATATTGTTTTGGGAGTCGATTACAATAGGTCTACATGCATGCAAAATACGCTTTTGTTTTCTCAAATATAACCTCATTCTCAAATGATTCGTTCGAAGCAGTTCTAAGATTCAGTCTCTCTAAACCCCTCCTTTCCATGAGCCTACTCTGCTCTGATTGGTCTGATGGCCCAGTCTGTTGTGATTGTTCTACCGAGTACAGTGTGTGTTGGAAACGATACACCTATTGCAATAGTTCTGTATTTTAAACGCTCGATAGAAAATACAAACATCTATTATTTATCATACGTGTGGGTTATAATTCAGTGGAGCCAGCTAGTTCAAATAAACTGGGTACTGAGCCATCTTTCAAGAGCAAGCGTTTTGTGAATCCCGTGTTGAACCATCCCAGATTAGAGAAGCAGTTGTCAGTAAAATGACGGGAATTCAAAAAAAAAAAAAAAAGATTGTGGTTGTACTGCTAGTTGTACAATGGAAAAAATAAATAAAATTTAACCACTGATTCTTTGCAGCGAACGAATTTACTTTCACAGCGTCTTCTCGACATGATGTTTAAAACATGAACAAGCTACAGTGTTTGAGGGCGGGTCAAGTTGTTCGCAGACGGCCAGCGTAGAACATAGGTGGGAATTATGCAAATGTGTTACACCATGAGTGGGATTCGAATTACTGATGACTCATTTAGGCTGTTCAGAGTCTGTCATTTCTTTTGGGAAACAATAACTTTATTTATTTACTTTTTTTATTTCTACTTTCTTACATTCACATTGAAATTACAGTTCTAAATTCTGTGTGCAACCTCAGTTCAAATTCTGGAACTGGATTAGAAAATAAAAGGCATTCTCTGTTCAATTTTGAATGGCACACAACCTTGGTAGGTGTCCTTTCTGTATAATCACTCATCATATAACCCATGCATCATCATCTAAATTTTTTATCTGAGTCACATGTAATTAAATTAGAATCAAAAACATGATGTCACTTAAACATAATGGGTAAGAAGTCCCAGTCATTAGATCTGTACCATTATGAACCCTCTGATATTGTCAGCGTACAATTAACTGCCATCTGTTGCATTCAGTAGTAATCTACTGCTCATTAGAGCTCAATCTACTGCCTTCCTCAGGAGTGCTTGTGGCATGTAAATTACAATGCTGGCACTTTTTGAAAATTAAAATGGGTTATTTTGAGTCCTAAAGACTATGGGGAAAAGCAATGAAAGTATTTTATAGACTACGGATTTACAAAATGTCTAAAAGTTGATGCTGTATACCGGTGGGAACTAAAACTGAGTTTTAGTTCAGGTTATGTATAAAAAAACTTGGCAGAGCTTTAGCACTGAGTTTTCATTGAAACTGTTTAGCCCCTTTAATCAAAAGCAACACCTGCTCTCAAAGAGGAGCAGAAAAAGATTTTACTATATAAATGGATTATTTCAGATTCCAGAGAATGAAATATAAATCGTAATTTAATCTCCCTTTTGCCTGACCTCATAAACCAGGAGCAATGCTATTTGTTTACCATATAGATATAGCTAGATATACCTTTTGACAATGTGAAGTGCTTTGATCACTTCATGCATATATTTGCTTTTTGATTGGATTGTAATAGAAAGAAAAAGGGAATACGTTTTTATAATGATAAAATTGACGCAGCTCAATGCTTTATATCTCTCTCTAATGAAAATGCCTAGTATCAGCGCTGACATTTCTCATTTTCTGCTGTCAGAATGGATCAAAGCTTATCAAAGAAAAGTGAAGACCGATGCAATACGACGAGACTGCCTTTTATAATCCTATGATGTGCACAATATCCACTTAATCCACAATCATCGGTGTAAATGTGCATGCTTCCTTTTATTTGATTTCTTACCTTCTTTAGTGGGAGAGTAGGCGTTAGTGAGGAACCTGAAGTTGCCTTTGTTGTACCAATTGATTATGGACATATTGCCTCTCATCTTAATGTGAGACTGGCCACGTTGCTGTGGAGCCTCGGTATTGATCAGCATAGACTGAGGAAGACCTGTACAATCACTCTTCCTAGTGCTCAGCAACCCACAGCAGTAGATGCCTGCAAGAGAAGGAACATATTACAGAAAAAAAAAAAAAATCCATCTCTGGAGCTGGCTGAGAATTAATATTTAGCCTGAACATTCAGTGTATGGCAAAACAAGTGTTCACATTTGAATGCTGATAGGATGAATAAAGGTCACATGAATAGACCCCTGTGTGTGTGATCTATAAAGCTGTGAGCAGATAGATGTCTTGTCCACAGCAGCACTGCCAGACGCTGCAGCCTATCTGAACGTGGCCTAGAAATCTGATATAAGATTGGAGATGTGATGATTATTCATCCTCCCCGCATGGGAAAAGGGCGTGACTAATCTTTTCTTGAAGATTTTCATCTCCATCCTATATACTTATGCAATGAACAAAGTGCTGTCAAATGTCCTTAAAACTTGAAATAAATAAAAATAAAATAAAAATGAATAAAAACTATGTAGACACAAAAAACGAATAAAATGACGAAAACTTAAAGGGGTCATATGATGCGATTTCAATTTTTCCTTTCTCTTTGGAGTGTTTCAAGCTCTTGGTGCATAAAGAAGATCTGTAAAGTTGCAAAGACTAAAGTCTCAAATCCAAAGAGATATTCTTTATAAAAGTTAAGAGTCAACCACGCCTCAGGCTCGTTCTAACACGCCCCCACATGTCTAAATCACGATGTGGGAAGATTTGCATAACGCCGCCCAAATGTTCACGCAAAGAAAGAAGGCGTAACTTTTATTCTCGCTGTAGTATTGTTGCTGCCGCCATGTCGTGAAGGCGCTGTGTGTTTCGTTGTGAAAGCGAAACTACTTTGTTTGGTCTTCCAAAAGAGGACGATACCCGCTTCGTCATGCCTGGAGCTGATCCGTGCTGGTCGCTGAGGAAATACATCAACTTTGCGCTGTGGATCGCCGGATCGGCTTTCACCGTGGACGAAGCGGAGTCCAGCCCGGGGTCGTCACATGTGGTTGCCGCAAGCCCTCCGCCGTGCCGTTCTCTAGCCCGCTGGCCTCCGCTCACTCTAGCCGGCCTCTGCTCACTCTAGCCCGCCGTGTGTGACGCTGTGTTTCTTTGTGAAAGCGAAACTACTTTGTTTGGCCTTCCAAAAGAGGACATGACTAAAAATCAGTGGTTAAATTGTATTTACAACACTGTTCCAGAACAGTTCAACCCAAATATTCAGATGTGTGCAGCACATTTTATGGAGGCCCGTTTCCTAATCCTGGGAGAGTAGACTACAATGCCGGCTGTTCTGACTCACAGACTGTAAGCACATTTTTTATATTTAAAGAATTTGCCACTGACGATTCAAACGCGAGTTTTGAGCAGTGTAGAGAAGTCTTGTTGTTTGTCATTTCTCCGATTACAAATGCAGATATGGTTTTATGTTTACATGGCGCGATGCAATGCAACACGTAAAAAGACAGAATAAGTCATTATAATCCATAATTATGTCCCCACTGGATGCAACGAATGCCTCGTTTATAATGGGTTTTCATGTTTTTGAATCATTGCTCCGGCCTGACAGGGCATCATCACAATATGGTGAGGGGCGTAACATTTCCGTCACACGCTTGAGGTATTCGGCCAATCACAACGCACTGGATAGCTGGCCAATCAGAGCACGCCTCGCTTTTCAGACCGATGAGCTTTGTAAAAATCGACGCGTTTCAGAAAGGTAGGGCATAGAGGAGAAACACTAATGTACCGTATGTGGAAAATAATGTGTTTTTTTTACCTTAAACCGCATAAACATTTCATTACACCAAATAAAATTTTCTTTTTAGCAACATCATATTAAAAAAAAAGAAAAAACTAATTTAAAATATATATATAACCCTACATTAGTATTTCAGTAATACTAAAATAACGCTGCAGGACATTCCTCATCAATGAAATTGCATTACACAACATGAACCTGATGCTGTGTGAAATGAATGTAACAGCTGGGGCAAAAATGCCTGAACAGCAGTTTTGGGGAAGCTGCTCTAAAACTGTCATGATACAAGATCCTCTTAATTCAAAGCAGTTAAAGTAGGCCTAGTTAAATACTCTTTTAAATTAATTTCCTTCACCACAACTACTAGTGAAAAGTAGCTAAGTACACTGAAGCTATTTAGAAGGGCAATATCTTTTTTAAATACTGTATATATTTGTATGAAATAAAATGTATTTGTACAGAGAAGAATTATATGATGATAGCATTAAAATAGATGAGATAATTATGCTAAATGACAACGATAAAATTAGAAAACCAGCTATAAACAGAGATAAGGTCTAAGTAAGCACTTGGCTACAAAGAAAAACTATGTAAAAACCATCAAAAGTCACTGCTTTACATGAACTCTCTGAGTCTGAACAAACCAATTCACTGAACTGGACATATGTTGTTCAGCCGAGTGATATTTCATGTTTGCTCTTGGTATGAATAACAGACCATTTGTCAGCAATTTGTTGTGCAGTTTTGCTCAAGCATTCGAGCTTGTTTGTTTTTCAGCATTTGTGTTTGTAATGGCGAACTGCTCGGCTGGATTCAGCTCCGAGAAGGATTCCTTGGACTTTGATTCAAATCAAACAACTTGTCTCTTAAAGCATTCATCAAAAGAACTGACTCATAATAGTATTTCTTCCCTCATTATAGTAAATTGTTTATTAATCAGACATGTTGTATGACGTATTTGCTTGCAGCCTGTTATGACAATTCTACAGAAAGCCATTTTTTCCCTTATAAGAATGCAAAAATAAATGATTTACTTTGCTGTGGCACTTAATCGTGATATTAAATAAAAGCGTTTTACATTTTCATAGCGTTCCACAATGTTAAGTTTGAGAAAAGCTACACTGCTTTTAAAACAGCTGAGCTACCGTCACGCTATTGAAAAGTCACCACTTTTAGTTAATTACTCCCTAAATACTACAGAACAGTAGTGTATGAGGCTGAATAAGGCTATGTATGAAGCTGATATATACATTCTACATGACATTCAAGACTTAGTTCTCTAATAATGTAAAAGGTTTTGATTCAAATGTAGAGAGAAAAAAACCCCAGCCTAATCAGCCTAATCCACAGCTGTGTTAACATTCATTCCTTGCTGCCCAGCTGGAGCCTTTCAAATAATCTTTGAGTATGAAACACGTGTTTGCTGTGAGAACTCAAGGTCAACTTCCTCTCACTCTCTCCATTTATTCCTTGCCACAGGATGCTGTCACCGTGTAATTAAAAACTGCAGAGGATGAGGGACATCAGATGGAGACAAGATTAAAGAGAAGGGGAAAAAAGAAGCAAAGCAAAGCCAAGGCAGAATTCACTGAGAGAAGTAGAGCAGATAAGGATGCAAGGAACTGACAGATGCAATACTGTTGCACATGAGTTACAGCACCTACCCTGTTTCTCAAATTCCTGAAACAAGTTTAGACTTGTGATGCTTGGGCCAGTGAAGATGATTGCATTACGGCCAGCCAGATTCTGACAGAGCTGCTTGGCCACCAGACTGTGAAGCTGGGGTTTATTTTTCAGCGTGTCCAAACCATCTGGACCTGGACCCTCCTTTAGATGGACATAGATCTGGTGAGGAAGAAACACAGTGTCACTGTGCCAGAAATAAATTATTTACATTTCACATTCTGGATATTATGGTGAATGATTTGGCATTCTGATATGTGATGCCTTCTTTTCATGATCAAATCAGTCTAATCTTTTTCTTAAATATACTTCAAAATTGACTCTGATTTGAATGTTTGAGGTGAGCATGTTTGTTTGTCTTTTAAAGAAATTAATGTTTTTATTCACATCAGGCAAAGATGCATTAAATTAATCAAAAGGGACAGTAAAAACATTTATAATTTTACATTTATTTCTATTTCGAATAAATGCTGTTCTTTCGATATTTTTTTAATTCATCAAAGTATCCTGAAAAAATGTATCAGTTTGCACAAAAATGTTTTCAAAATTGATAATAATAAAGAAATGTTTCTTGAGCAGCAAATCAGCATATTAGAATCATTTCTGAAGGATTGTGTGACACTGAAGATTGGAGTAATGTCTTTAAATTGTAATATTATTTCACAATATTATTGTTTTACTGTATTTTGATCACATAGCCTTGGTGAGCATAAGAGACGTATTTCAAAAACATAAACATTAAATGGTATTGTACATCAGAAATACTGAAGTAAGGACAATAAGGACAATAAATTCTGTTGTCTGTTTGGCTCACTCCTGTAGCGTCTGCGTAGGATCATGCATGATAGTTGGACTGTTTA